CACAACTCGATGTCTTACCTTGTGTCTTCAATGACTGCATCACATCTCACTTTTTCCCCAGTAACCTCGCTCTATCACATCACCCCAACCCCAAGTGCTTGGCATCACCCAAAACTTCCTTCCCAGTTCCTTGGCCCCCTCACCCACTTTGCCACAAGGTACTTACCTAATTTATCAAGAATAATAGTGACCACAGCAGATATGGAGCTGTTGGCCTGGGCCTGGGCCATGCCAGCAGAGAATCCATCCATTTGGGCACTGACATTGGTCCGGCTGCTGGCACAGACTCCAGGCATCCGGAAGGTTCCATGGGCATCGCTGGTAGCCACAGTGCCAGGCCAGTCTCTCAAGGAGACCCTGGCCCCTGGCAATGGTCGGCCAGATGGGGTGACCACTGAGCCCAGGAGGATGTGATTGGGACATCCGCATGTCTTGGGGCTGCACACTGAAGGACACAGGGAGGCAGAGGGGCAGAGGGGCCTACACAGCCAAGGTGCCTCAGCATAGCCCGGCTTAAAGTAACCCCTAGTGTGAGGGGGAATATGGGACTGAGTGGTCAAGGCTAGGCAGGGGGAGGGACCTGAGGTCCAGAGAGGTGAGGAAGATGCCCTGAGGAGGGAACAGGAGAGGTGACTCTTACAGGACTGAGAGAATCCTGCCAGCATGAGAGAAAATGTTCAGGCCAGGGCTGGGGGCCCAGCGAGGGGCTGGGTCTTGAGCCCAGAACATCTCTCTCCCCTCCCAACCCCGCGGTTTCTCCAGATTATGGAAAATTCCACTGGAAACTTCATGGCAGAGGCGCCGCAGGGAGGGCAGAGCCAGGCGGGGTAGGGTGGGGACCCCACCACTCCATTGGCCATCGTGCTCCCCCACCCGGCCGCGGGCTCCGCCGGCACAGCCAGACCATGTTTGTGAAGCCCAGGCCGGATTGGAATTTCCAGTCGCCTCCTGGCTGGCCTGGTGTCTGGCCCTAGGAGGGCCTGGGTATCGTGTCTGCCAGGGTGTGAGCACGTGCCTGTGTGGGCGTAGGGGACGGGCGGGGGCTGCAAATGCTGTATGTGTAGACCCCAAGTGGGTGAGTCCGTTTCTATGTGTCCGTGACCACTGGAACATCCCCACACGCCACGGAGCACACAGGGAAGTGCCCCCCTCAGATCTGCCCAGGCCTGGCCACGACCCCACTCCCCACCCACTCCCCGGCGTTCACCATTCAGATGTACACATTTACCAAGTCTTTGAGGGGTGGGGGGTGCCCAAAAGGAAAGGAAGGGCCAATCTCCTTGTGAACCAAGTTTCAGCCCTCAGGGCCCTGCCCCTGTACCCAGGCGCCGCCTCTTTCCTCCAGGCCCTGCCCACCTAATCTAGGCCCATCAATCAGGCTCCACCCAGCTAGCCCCTTTCTTCTAGTTGCATCCCTCAACTGGCCCCGCCCCTACAAATCCAGGCCCTGCCCCTCCTACCTGGACACCGAGGCCTCACACACTTCTGCGCCTCCAGGGACCGCCCGGGACATGTACCCCCAGTGGGGCTTGGGCAGCGGCGGCGGCGCAAACGACGACCAGGCCCGCAGCTCCCTGAACAGGGACCCCACGGGCCCCACGGGCCCCACGCGGCCTCTGCAGGGAGGGCAAGTGGAGAAGGTCAGGCGGTTACCCAACCTAAAGACTATGCCTCGGAAATCTGGTGACTATGTGGGACCGGAGAACACCCTGCCACGTGCATCCAAGGGCAGTACTCCAAACAGAAGTCCTGTCCACTGCTTCCACCAGTGCTCCCCCAGGCACACCTTTGAAGGTACAGTTGAGGTACATCTCCCTCCCGCCCCCCTAAGCTCCCCGAGGTTAACCTGCTGTTCTACCTGTGTCTGGCACACATTTTGTCCTTAAAACACACCCACACAGAACAGAACTGTTACAGATGAGCAAATGGGAGCAGCGAGAGGGAGATGCTCTCCTTGGGGTCCCTTCTTGCTCCCCACTTGGGACCCCAGCCATTCCCAGCATCTCCCTTCCAAAGCTCCGCTCCTACCCAGTCCTGCCCTTTGCCCGGGCCCTGCTCCTAAACGACCCCGCCTCTTCCTAGCCACAAGGCACAAATCCACAATACCGCCTTTGGGGTCCCCCCTCACCTGAGACCCGGCCCCGCCTCTTGAAGCCCCGCCCATCCCAGGAAGGCCCCATCCTCCCCAGGTCCTGTCCTCACCGAGAGGGCAGCGGAAGCGCACGTGGTAGTTGGAGCAGCGGCGTCCCCGCGGCTGCTCACGGTTCAGACACCAGAAACCGCGAATGGGGTTTAAGTGCACACGTTCGCCCACGGTGGATGGCAGGGCCCAGTCAGTAGTGCGCGCCTCCAGCGCCAGCGGCCGCGGGCACACGCGCGCGGGCCCGTAATAGAAGCGGATGGCAGCCAGGCTCTCGAAGTCTCCCTCGCCGCCAGGGTGGTCCACGTTGAACCAGGACGTCCACTCACTGGCCTCTGTGGGTACCATAGGCTCTGGGACCCAGTCCTCAGCCTGTCGAGCCTCTTCTGCGTGGTACGGGCCTTACAGTGCTAAGTGGGGGCCCTCTTCCCCTCCCACTCTAGGCTAGTCCAACCCGCCCACGGCCCCGCCCTGATTCAGAGCCCTCAAGGGCAGAAGGAGCTGTGCAGGTGTCACCAGGAGGTTGACCTCCCACTGACCAGCCCTAATTCTGTTGCCCAGAGCCTAAGCTGGCACATCAGAGCACGCAGAGATCTTGCCACCGTCTCACCTGTCCTCACCCTCAGAATTCAGAGCCCGAGGTGTGAGGAGATATAAAGCTGGTGAAGCCTGCCTGACACCAGCCCTGACTGTAGCTTGCCACTGCCTGGCAGCTCCTTATTTGTGCCAGCTGGGGCCTTCCTAGCTCACTGCCCAGCTGAATCCACCACAGGTGGGAAGGGCTGGCCTCCCATAACCCCCAGAGGGAGGGCACTCCTTTTCTGATTCAAGAGCAATCAAATAGAACTTTCCTGGCCTGGAAACTGGAGACCCAGGTTCCAGACTACTTTGCTGTGTGGCCTGGGCAGGTGGTCCCCTCTTCAGTTTCCTCCTTGACAAACAACCTGGACTCACCCTCCTGCTCCTAAAACTTAGACCTCTTGGGGTACCACTTCCAGGGGTTGTCATGTCCAGGGACCAGAATGGTACTGGGCTCTTCACCCAGCTTGTGTCCCCTCCTCATATGTCCTCACCAGCCAGAGCTCACACAACAGTCCACAGCAGAGCCAGGGCTTGGACCCTGACTAACTCACCTTCCCAGTCCTCCAGGGTTGGTGAGGGTTGGCCTGGGTGCAATGATGGAACGTCAAGGCCCCATATGGTCTCTGCGGGCTCCTCAATGAGGGTAGTGCCTGTGGAAGAGGTGAGTAGTGGGAGGGAGGAAGGATCACTGATGGGGATCCCTGTGAGCTCTTTTTATGCAAGGTGCTGCCATAATCACCCCCATTTCACAGGGGAGAAAACAGGCTCTTAGAACCAGAACCCAGCTCTGGCTGACCCCAAGGACTGCAGCACCCCTCCTCCAGGAAGCCTCCTTGTGACCCCGCAGCCCCAACTCCACAGGTCTTGGAAGTCTGTCCATGTTGCTCCCCAGACCAAATTCTCCCCCTAGGCACATTCCCCTTTGTCCATTTACCTGTTGGAAGTCCCTCCCTCATTCTACTTTCCATCCCTGAACTAGGGGCCCACACTGCCAGCAGGAGGTCTTTGGAATCGAGCCTGGCTTCTCTGGCCTCAAGTTGTCTGAGATAGCTGGCTCGGAAATGACCTCAGACAAGTCCCTTCCCTCTTGAAGCCTCGGTCTCCTCATCCGAAAAATGGGCCCAATTTCCACCTCGACTGAGTGTCCCAGAGACCAAACTTTCTTTTCTGAATGGGAGGTGTGTGTAGGAGAGGGGAGGAGTTAGGTGAGAGGGGCCAGGAGAAGGTGATTCAGGGTCCAGGCGCTGGGCCTGAGATAGAGACAAGTATCCCGCGGTCACTGGGAACCCAGAAAAGCCTAAAGTTCATATCCACACTCTAGGTGCCCGCCCTACCGTCTCTTAGAGGAGGAAAGAGAGTGGAGAAGGTTTCCTCCCCGCCCCAGGCGGTCCTGGGCTCTGTCTCCCTGGTGCCCTCTCACTCCCTCCACCCATAGGCTGGCAAAAGGGACCCAGGCCTGTGGAAAAGAGTGGTCCCTGGGTTCTCTCTCCAGGCGCGAAGGCATACCAGGTCCGCAGCCAGACGTTCAGGCGCCTATGGGGCTAGACTGGGGGCTGGGGGAGCCTCACCTCGGGCCCCCGCCAGGTGCGCGGCGGCGACACAGAGGCAGAGCAGTGACGGCAGTGACGCCATGGTCGGGTCCCAGCGTCCAAAGGAGGGTTCGGGCTCCGCTGCGCGCTCGGGTCGGACTCCCGCGGGTCTGGCAGCTGAAGGGGCTGAAGGTGGGGGCGGGACGCGACCGCAGGCCCCGCCCGGCCCAGGCCCCGCCCCTTCCAGGCCAAGCTTCTTTGCCCTGAGTGATTTCTGTGCGTGAGCAACCTCTCTAGGTCACCCCCCTTGGTGCGTCGGGCTGTGCCTCCACCATCAGGCTGGCCTGCGTCCCCCCGTTGCCGGCTACAAATCCCTCCCTCCACCCATCCTCCATTCTCTATGTTGGGTCCCAAGCTGCCTGTTGGAAGTGCCTCTCGGAATCGGGCCTAAAGCTGCCCGAATCTTCACGTTTTAGGCGGCCAGAAATTCTCCATCGAGTCAAACTTCGACCCAGGGCCTTAGGCCATCCAAACAGGCTGGAAGTCCCTGACTCAACCCTTTACGGAGGTTAACGAAAAGTCCCACTCTACATTTGCCCTTCATCCCTCCTGCCTTGGGCCGCCTGGGGACCGGTGGGAAGTCCTTCCCCGCGTCTGCCCACCCGCCGCGCACAGAGGAGGCGAGGCCAGGAGGTGGTGGTACGTCTGTTTATTGGCGCGCGTCCAAGCCGCGTGGGCGCGGGTGGCGGTCACAGCGCCGCCACGCAGTCGGTGCCTGTGTATCCTGGCAGGCGCAGAGCGAACTTTCGACGCACGTCGTTGGGCACGAACCTGCCGGCCACGAAGTGGTGGCGCCCAGAGAAGCGGCCAGCGCAGCGCTTGGACGCTGCCAGTGATACCAGTACGTCGGCCGCAGCCCGTCTCTGAGTCTCCGCCCGTCTCAGTGTCCCAGCCTGAGGGAGGAGGTGTGGGAAGAGGGATCAGGAGCTGGGAAGGGTGCTCACCCTCAGAGCAGAGTCCTGTGCCCCGCCACCCAATTACTCTTCCCCATTAGGTCCAGCTTCTGCTTTCTAACAGTGAGTCTTGGTCAGACCGGCGTCTGCATAGAACTGAGCCTCCACCCTCAGACCAATCTGTTCCCCTCCTTGAGATGTTTTTCCCTCCCCCTCTGGCCAGAACCCTCATACTATTCTGCCCCTCCTCCCATCCTCTACTTAATCTTCCTCCTCCATTTGAATCAGCCTCTCCCTTCAGATTGCATTATTTCCACCTGCGGTACTTTTCCCAATCAGACCATGCCTCTTGGAGTGTCTATCCTCTTACCTCCCTCCCTATCAATCCTGAGCTTCCCCACCTCCACTTAGACTAGAGCCTCTTTCCACACAGACTTCCCAGCCAGCCTCCACTCTCTGACCAGATCATCACTCAGAGGACAAACTTTCCTCCATCCTCAAGCAAGCCTCCCCTATCTGACCGGTCTCCTTACCCCAGGTTCTTGCTTCCCACAGGAAGTGTCTCCTTCTCCACCCAACTTGAGCATCCATCCTCCTCCATCTATCTAGATACCTTTTCCTCTGATACGATATCCCTGCCTTCACGGTCATGCTAGATCTTGCCTTTTTTACTTGGCAGGACCACAGAACTTCACTCATTGGTTCATAGCCTCTGCCACCTCTCAAATGACCCTCCATCTTCAGACTAGGGGCTTTACCTTCTCTCCTGCCTCTTACTTGAGTCTGGAACCACTAACTAAAAGTCTCCTCTCTCTGAATTTAATCCTTCCTTCTGTGACCCTGGCCTCCACCCTCACTAGACAGTCCACCTGCTCATAGCCACCCACCCCCACTCTTTGGCACCCTGCTAAGATCACCCTGAGGTCTTGCAAGCCAGAGGACATCCCTCTGAGTTCGGCCACCCCCCGTGGAGGGTCCGGCTGGCCAGCAGCTGTTTGTTCCGTCTGCCTGTGGCTTAATGGCTCCAACAGGCATAGGGCGGCGGCCAGGATGGGCGAGGCCTTTGCAGAGTGAGCTCACGTCTGCCCACATGACCGGGCCAGGGTGGGCAGCAGGCACATTGAGCTGAGTGAGGTGGGGAGGGGATGCAGGGTCACCTGGGCAACAACCTCAGGGTTCCCCATTTGAGGGATGGACATGACCCTCTGCCATACCCACAGTGCACAATCCATCCATGCTGGGCAAACAGGCTCAGAGTGGACGAACTGGAGTAACAGAAGCTGGAGCAAAGGGGGCCCCCCAGGTTCCCCAGGCCCTGATGCACCACCCTCCACTTGGCATGCCTGAGGGAATGTCCAGGCTCACAAGGGGGATGGACAGCAGCTTGAGTGTAGTCAGCATATGCATGCAGGGCCCCCAACCTCACGGGGCTCCACACCAGGGCCCAGCATGGCATCCACCACCAGTCCATAGGCGTCATTGATGAGCTGGACCTGGGAGGGCAGGCAAGGTAAGGGGCGGCCTTGGGGCACCATCTTGCATCTGTCCCTCAGTTGCCAAGGAGCGCTGACCTCTGTGGGCAGATAGGACAGGAAAGGGATGTCCATCTTCTCACACTGGGTGGTTAGGTCCCTGTGCAGTGGGTCCAGTGAGCATGTTGGGTAGAAGATGGTCAGTTTGCACTCCTGCGGAGAGCAGGAAGGGGTCAGTATGAGGACTGTTCATGCTCTTACCAGGCTCTGCCAAGCCCCCACACCTGGTACCAGGCAGCAGACCCTGCCTGGGGCAAGCATGGGCATATGGTGTAATTTACCCAGTCTCAATGTTCCCCTGGAACACTACCAAAAAGAGGAAGCGAATTCTGCAGGGACAGGATGAGAGGTGACCCTGGGAGGCCAAGGGGGTCCTTGCTACTCACAAACACCCATAGGTGCCGGGCACAGACCAGCCCTACTGCCCTGTTCTGCTCTGAGCCACACATGACCAGCACCCTCCTCTGCTTCTGAGAGAGAGCAGGCAAGGGGAACACCTAGCAAGGGGCACAGCAAAGGCAAAGGCATGGAGCTTGGAATTCCTCCTTGCTCAGGTGGGAAAACTGAGGCCCAAGGTAGAGGAAGGGACAGGGCTTGGGCTTAGAGGCAATTAGATAGGACAAAAGGAGGGACATTCTGGGTGAGGGGCAGGGCCTCTTGGAGCCTCAGTTTCCTTCTTGGAAATGCAGAGTCCTTGCCTCAGGGTCTGCCAAACCAGAACAGGAAAGCGTGCCTCCTGCCACCATTGGGAGCCTGAGAGCCTGGACTGTGGTTTGTTTATTCTCGGCCTGAGTTGCAGACATTCTTCCACCTTTTTCCACTGCAGTGGCTGCCCCTCCCCCACCCATTTTCCAGGCCTCGGGCTTTCCCAGAGGCTCCAAATTTGGAGGGGGAAGGTACTTTTCCAACCTGCCATGCCCTGTCTCTCTATCCCCATCCCTTTCCATTTGCCTCTGTCTTCACCTCCGTTTCTCTGTATCTCTCAGACTCTGTGTCTCTCCCTTTCTGCCTCTCTCCATCTAGTCTCTGTCTTTCTCCATCTCTCAGACTCTCTGTCTCTGTGGGCCTGTGCATCTCTCTCTCTTTAATACAGCATACTGGTGTTAAGAGTCCCAGCCTACCCTGACTCTGCATCACCTCGGCCCCCTCTCCTCTCTCAGCCTCAGTTTGCCTCTATTAAAAAGAAGTGACAATGGAATAGAATTGTCAGTGGCTCTGACAGGCCCATGGGGCCTTTCCCTGACTCCACAGGGCCTGGCTGTACTCTAACCTCCAACTACACAGAGGGAAAGTTATTCCATTTTTCAGTCTTCTCTCCAAGGTCTCAGTGAGGTCCTGACTGACTCTGACCGTGCCTGCAAACACAAGATCACATCCAGAGTCAGGAAGGGTGACACTGTCTGGCTGGCTGGGACCACGGGGCTGCTGGATGGACTTGGGGTTCTCAGGACAAAAACTGGACGGTTGGCAAGGCAAGAGTTTACTACACTGGCTTTGCTTCTGTGGCTTAGATTTCACCATTTCCTTCTTCTTTGGGCACCTCACTCAGGATATGTTTCATTTGGAAATAAAAACATTTAAGTAAAAAAAAAAAAATGAGTCCACATAAAGAAAAACATTGAGTTTTGTTAAAGTGTACAGTGGTAACAAGAAGAAAAAATGGGGAGGAAGAGGAGAAGAGTTATATGCTGGAGCCCTGACTATTGGGCATTTTTCTAGGGAATTTGTTTATTACCTGGTGTCAGTTTATTCCCCTTGTTCAGAAGTAACATGGAGCAAAGCATCAGATAGTAGTAACATCGTTGCTATTATTTACCAGTCCCTTGCAGACACCTTAAGGGTAGGTGGTTTGCCCCAGAGCCAGACATAGCTATGTTTCCCACTCCCTGAAACCCTGCTCAGGCCCCGCCCCACCTCAGAGCCTCAGTTTCCCCACCTCTGGCACAGGATTGTTTGGGGTTACTCAGACTGCAGGAGCCGATATCCCCCATGCCCAAGACCCAAAAGGTAGCAGAGGCAGGCAGCCATGTCTGTACCTCAAGGGCCCAGGACCCATCCCTGTGGCAGCCTCAGTCTCTGTTCTCTCCCTCAATGACACCTGGATCTTGGGTCCATGCCTGGCCTGGCACAGTAATGAGCCTCTCTGGGCCTCAGTTTCCCCATCGGAGTGATAAGGCTAGGGTGGCCCCAAGCAAAGACAAGTTTCTTTCTTTTTTTTTTTTTAACTGATTTTTTTATTTTATTTTTTTTATCCTCACCTGAGGACATTTTTCCTTTTTTTTTTTGTTCAGGTAGAGTGGGAGGGAGACAGAGGAACAGAGAGAGAGAGAGAAACATCGATGTGAAAGGAATACATCGAGTGGCTGCCACCCGCACAACCGACCAGGGCCGGGGACAAACTGCAACCGAGGTACACGCCCTTAGCGGGAACCGAACCCGGGTCTCGGGTCTCTCAGGACCGCAGGCCGACACTCTAACCGCTGAGCCAAACCGGCCAGGGCAAGAGAAGTTTCTTGAGGGCCAGACCATCCTGGCCATGGAGGTCGTTCCACTAGACCTCGGCTCTGGTGGGCTGGCCAGCTGGCTGGGGTCAAGGTCAAGGGTCAGGGATTAAGTACATTGGTCACAGCCATAGCACCACATAACTCCACCAGCTGCTGCCACCCAAAACGATAATCCTCCAGCAGCTCCTGTTCCAGGGTAGCCACCTCCTCTGTGCTGGGGGACAGAGTTGGGAGAGACGCTTAGAGATATAGAGAGATGGAGACAGAAGCTCGGATGGAGTCAGAAATGTTCCACCAATGTTCTGAGCCAGTCCCTGACGCCACCCCCAATCTGTTGCCCCATCCATGCGCAAGCGGTTGAATAGAACCTGGCAGAAAGAGGCTTGAACTGAAGCCTGAGGCACGGGCGCCCTCTGGTGATCAAAGAAGCCGCACGGTGGTGCATGTTGCTTCTGTTCTTCCAACGCGAGGACTGAGCCCCACCCTGAGGCCCCCAGCCCCCAAGGTGGGAGGAACCCAGAAGGAGGAATGGAGTGTGAAGGACTTTGATGGGGGCGATGGGTGGATTTCAGGCAGAAGAAACCACTGACTGAGCTTCAGGACACTGGAGGGGGCTGACTGGACTGGGGGTACCTGGGGGAGGTGTGTGAAGGCTGCAGAAGCATTTGATAGCTCACTTAGAGAGGTGGATGTGACCCCTCTTCAAAGACAGTGGTAAAATGCAAATAATTGTGCCTAGAGAGATGGGGCCAACTCGCTTGAAACGAAGCTCTGCTACGAGTCAATTCACTGGAGTGACTGGGGTCCATTTCATCTTTCTGAGCCTTGCTTCCTCCTTTGCAAAGTGAAGGCAGGATAGGCTAGATTAATTTTGAGAGCCAATTCAAAATGCAAATGTGGAACTCCTTGTTCAAAAAATAAGAATTTCAAGATGGTGATGGCAGAGTGTTAAGCCATGTGTTAGGCCCTTCTAACAGCAGGGACCAAAGCTGGCCCTGGCTTAGGAGCCTCCCAAATGGCCTGGGCTTGATGGCGGCTGAGAGGGAGAGCTTGCTTTGAGGGCATTCCTCACTCCAAAGGAGTGAAGCAGCTGGCAGGACCCCTTCTTGCAGAATCTATCCCCAGCTCAGTAGACCCTAGAGAGGGGAATAATAAAATAACAATAATAATAGACCTAGGCCCAGAGAGTTGAAAGAACATTTAACAGCCCAGAGAGGCCAAGTGGCTTGCCCAGAGCCATGCAAAAAGAGAATAGGAAACGCGAGACTTCCACCCTTGCTGTCTGTCTTCAGCCCCGAACAGAGTGTGAATAAAGCTGTGGAGGAAGATCTACAGGTGGCAGAAGTTTGGGATGAATCCTAGGTTCCCTCCTTCGATTCTGTGAGCAGGAAACCACAAGCTTCCGGCCAATTTTACAGTGTGATCAGGCCAAGCAGCAGGAGGGGCAGAGGTGGGGAATGAGGACTGCTGTGGGACAGGGAGTCAGGGAAGGCTTCCTGGAAGAGCTGGCCTGGAGCACTATGGGAGGTAATCCAGGCAAGAACAGTGAGGGAGTGAGCTTGGCAGGTTCAAGGGACAGAAAAGATGCCAGTGTGGCTGGAGCAGTGAAAGAAACAGAACACTTCGGAAGCCCATGCAGATAGGGGAGATGAAGGCTGAGGGCAGGGAGGTCACATGCCCTGAGACCCCAGCAATCAGAACCAGATTCAACCCCTAGCTTGTCTTCAGTCAGTGTTGTCTTCAGTCTGTGTTGGATGAGGATGAAGTACCGATTGGAAAAAGGAGCTCACAGTGGAGCCAAATAAAACACCCCCATCCGTCCCCCTCCCGATAGGGAAAGTCAGCCCAGCTCCTAAGAAGGGCGTCCCGAAATGTGGCTTATTTCTCCACCTTAATCTTGTGACAGCTCTGGCTGCAGCCCCCCTAGGGTATAGGGGAGATAAGAAGGGTGGAAGAACCATCCATTCCGCCCCTTCTTCCTCTGTCCCAAAGCTTTGACCTCTGGTCACCACTTGGAACATTATCTTCCTAACTGGCCATTAAAGTGATAATGGGGACTCCATAGAAAGATGGTGGTAGGATATTAGTGGGAATTAGGGCACATGGGACCCAGGAGGTGGGGAGCAGGGGGCTCAGTTAGGAGGATGCCTCTTTTTTTTGTTAGTCTTCACCAAGGGTATTTTTTCCATTAATTTTTAGTTACAGTGGAAGGGAGGGAGGAGAGTGGGGAGAAAGAGAAAGAGAGACATTAATGGAGAGAGACACATCGATTAAGGTTGCCTCCCACACAACCCCAACCAGGGCCGGGGATCAAACCTGCAACCCAGGTACGTGCCCTTGACTGGGAATCAAATTCATGACCCTTCGATCTGTGGGCAGAGGCTCTAACCATTGAGCAAAACTGGCCAGGACAGGATGCCTCTTGCTTCCTCCAACCTATCCCCTAGATAAGAACTGTGAAGCCCAGAATTTCCCTGCCAGCCCCAGAAGAACTGAGGTGATCTGGTTTCAAAGGAAACTGGGCCTGACACTTCCAAAATGCTTCCAGGAGGGGGCTTTTTTGGAGGTCAAGTAATGAGGCCAGAATGCCCATGCCAGACCCTTCCTGTACTCAGACTCTATCGGCTTCTCTCCAGCCTCACCACCCTCACCACCCTCATGCCTCTCCCTGCTAGCCCGCCATTACTGCCCACCCATAGCAGTCTCAAGCCTCTCCTACCCCAAACTCCACACCAACAATGGGGGCTTTGAATATCAGATCGCATCACACAGTTACAAACCTTCTTAAGCCTCCCCAGTATTCAGAGAATATTCAAATTCATCACGCCTACGCGCCCCCCATTATGTCTCCAACCTCATTGCCTCCTCTCCCCTTCTTCACTGTGTTCTACTCCCACCCACCCCACAAGAATCCCATCACTTGCCCTGGCCGGTTTGGTTCAGCGGTTAGAGCGTCCGCCTGCGGTCCGGAGAGACCCGGGATCGGTTCCCACTAAGGGCACGTACCTCGGTTGCAGTTTGTCCCCGGCCCTGGTTGGTCGTGCGGGTGGCAGCCACTCGATGTGTCCCTTTCACATCGACGTTTCCCTCTCTCTCTCTTCCTCTCTTTCCCTCCCTCTCTGTCTGTACAAAAAATGGAAAAATGTCCTCAGATGAGGATTAAAAAAAAAAGAAAAAAGAATCCCATCACTCAATTGGCATTTGATGTGCCCTACTGTCCCCCACATCAGAGTAAGCCATAGCTCGTTTCTGGAACATTCATCTCCCCCTGCCTAGGATGTGCTGGGTATTTATGCTGAATCTGGATAGCAGCCAGAACCTGGACATCAGACAATATCTGCCCTGAGAAGAGCTGACTGGAGAGTGGGCAGAAGTGGTCAGACAAGGGACTGTGGAATAGTTCTGGTTTATCTTGAGGTCTACATCCCTGCTTGGGGTCCCATGTCACACAGGATGACTCAGAACAAGGTGTGAGACAGCTATAGTTGCCAGCTCCAGACCCCTGGCAAGTGGCCCATGTGTACAAAAATCGCCCTTGCCTTGGCTTCCCTCCCCAGGCCTGTTTCCTTCTTGGACAAGGTGTTAATAGCAGGTGGACCACGATGGGGTATGTGAGCATCTGAGGAGCTGAGAGTAAAGAATTCAGATGGGGAAAGAGCACTGGGGGCTCCAGGGTACCAGGGAAAGGGGAGTTGGACCCTGGTCAGGGTCAAGGGTTATGAGGGAGCGAGTAGTGGTGCTGATAATTCATGAGGGGCGGGTTCGCTGTGAATAGTTTTCTTGGCAATGCAGCTTCAGAGGCATGGGCAGCGGCAGGTTCTCTCTCCGGTGAAATGTGGGGTGAGGCTCGGCTCCCTGGGCCCCTTCCCGGCCATACCCCTTCCCCTATTACCCCTCCCAGCCATGCTGCTGCCCCTGGGCCACACCCCCGCCATGCAATCCAGGATGTCCCTACTCTGGCTGACCTGAGGAAACAGTGCTCCCTGGCTACCTCCAGGTCGTGGCCAGCCGCTGCGCCAATCATGGCCGAGGTGAGCCTGTGCTTGCGGGGACCTTGCAGTGCCCTTTCATGCGTATCCCAGAGCAGCCCCCGCCTCCTCCCACTCACCAATCAGATGGTGCCGCGAAGGCGCTTAGCGCGACTAATGATCAGTGGGCGCAGGTGGACTTAACCCATTTATGCTAGCACAACTGCCGAGATGTAAGGACACCCAGAGATGCCCATACTGGCTGGGAAACGAAGTCTGAAGGGGCAGAGGTGGGTCGTGATGGGCCGGTCACCCCTGCTACGGTATCCTGGCCTGGGAGTAAGAGGACATGCCTCTGCTGCCTGCGGCTGCCACTCCAGGCCCCCATCCATCCCTGTACTCTGGTGAAGCCTCTAGGTGGACTTCTAGGTGAAGCTTCTTGGTGGACTGTGGTCAAGGAGGAAATAAACACAGGTAGGGCAGTCAAGACATATTTGGGAGTCCAGGCTGGTGGTGGATTCAGAGGCAGTCTATGGGTGTTTTCTGAATTTCAGGATCCAGTCCGAGTCCCCATATCACATGTGACCAGTGGTGCATCCCTCCCCCAGTCATTCAGTCCCTGGGACACAGGCAGGCAGGGGGTCTTCAGAGCATTTATTCTCTCCATGGGGGAGGGGGAGGGGAAGGAGTCTAGTGTCTGAGGGGCAGCCCCTAAGTGTACCAGATGAAGCCATAGGTGGCGTTGAGAATCTCTTCATTTGTGCGCAGTCCATATAGCTCGCCCATTATGGGGGTCACCCAGCGCATTGTGTGGAACACAGACTCGCCCACCTGCGGGGAAAGCAAGTACAGGTGAGGGTGCTGGTCACTGTCGGAAGCTGCCGCCTTCCTCATCTCACTCCCAGCACCCACCACCTCTCTCCGCCCCAGGTTTTCTGTGGAAGGCTTCGCTTCTGCAGTGCCCTAGACCCCTAGACCCCTGCCCTCCCTGCAGAGGACCCACCTTCCAGTCAGGCACATCCTTCATGATGATGGCCTCCTCCTCCAGGTTCTCCCGAAGCATCTGCAGAACCCTGCAAGGATGGAGTGGGATATGGGGGACAGGCCTGAGTACCCCAAGGGACCCCTATCTAATGCACCTACCAGACCCCACCCTGCTTCCCACTCCCATCATCTCCTGCCATTTCCAACCCTACACAGACTGGCTCCTCTTTCTTTCCTTTCCTCTACCTGTCAAACTCTTATTATCCTCCTGCCCTAGCCCAACACTCCCTCTTGCAGAAAGCCTTCCTGTTCTCTCCCTTGAGTCTCCACTTTGTCTAGGGCCCTCTCCAAGGGTGACAGCAGTCTGTGTGTGCAAGAATGCAGCTGCCAGTCCCCAGATGCATTTTTTCGTTGTGTCCCCAAACTGCGAGCTGGGGCACTCAGGCCTGTGACCTCCTGTCCCTGGCGGTCGCACCTCCGGTCCTTCTCTGCCTGCAACAGCGGCATCAGTGCAATGCGGGCTTCAAAGTCCTCGATTTGCAGACGCCTGTGAAACCCCAAAACCAATACTCAGATCAGATTAGGGTGGGCAAGATGGGGGACAGACGATGTGGCCCCCTGGACATTCAGGGTGATGCACAGGGAAGGTGGTTGGGGGAAGAGGCAAGCAAGCAGGACAGAGCTTGGGCAACAGGCTCTGTCTACTAGGAGCCCAAGATGGGGGGACCTAGTAGGTCCATAAGACTGCTGGCTTTACACTTTCTTTTCAATTAAAAACTTTTTTTAATCCTAAAAATAGCCCAGGCCTGTGACTGTGGTGAAAGGAGGGGAAACGTTTGTCATGAAGCTCTGGACCTTACAAAACTACGTCCCCTTCATCTCAAAATAACCTCAGGGTATGAGCCCTGGGCAGGTGGTTCCTTTCTTCTCCCTGCTCTTCAGCATCTTCCAAGCCACCAGCCCTATCTGTATTAAGGAATGGAGCCATGTTGTTGCCCAGGGAGTGGTCTCTGACCCTGTCCCCTCATCACCAGGAATCATAGAGAGGCACAAGGAAGGGGTGGATGAACTTCAACTCCTCTCCCCACCCCACCCGCCAGACTGCTGCCCCCACCACAGCCACACACTGTAGTCACTATTGTGTCCCCCTGGGAGGCTGGCCCTGGTCTTGCCTGTCTATTGCAGGGGCTCTAGCATCCAGCACTCACCAGGTGCTCCTGTGTTTACTCAACAATGTGAAGTTCCCTCCACGAGCTGAGCCTTCTCTAACACCCTCCTCAGAGATTCCCGGCCGTGTAGGGGTCAGTCACTAAGGACACATGACATAGGTGGGACAGGGTGGAGGGGCCCAGCCAGTCATGGGCCAATGAGAAGTAGCCACCTGGCAGGGCATGGAGCAAGCCCAGAGGTGGCTGGAGTCTGAACTGAGGCCACCTTGGTCCCTCAGCCCTGTGTGGCTGGCATGGCCATTGTCTTGCATAATCTGCTTTCTAAGCCCTTATACTGCATCACTGCCTGGTTACCATGGACAAAAAAACTGCTAAGAGTATTCCTGAGCTACCCCTCCACCTCTATCCAATAAGCTATCCTAACCCAGATACCCTGAGTCTCCAGCGGCAGAGGCCAAAGGGGTGCCTGGTGAACACTTGGAGGTGAGCTCCTTTCTTACTAGTCAGTCATTAAGGGTAAAATCCAGAAATGAACTTGCTGGGTCCCCAAGGCCTCAGGGTGGGGGGTTGGGTTGATAAGAGGCCCCAATGTATACCACATCCACAGGAATGTGCCCTCCCTCACTTGCACATTTTTGTCCATGGTAACCTACCTGCGTTCGCGATTCCACTTCATCATGCTCCAGTACCCAAAGAGCAAGGTCCCAATGCCCACGGCAAACATGCTATAGCCTGTGGGGAGAGGAGCACCAACTCAGCAACTGTATACAGAAGAGGCCACCCTTGCCATTTTTTCTCATGAAGCATATCCATTCGCTGTGCAAATAACCCCAGAAATAGATGATGGAGAAGGTGAGAGCCCCCTGCCTCCCTCCCAGAGATGGCTTGAATTTCTTCTCTTTTTGTCTCTGTGGAATGTCCACTGGCTCCCTTCCTTGGACACCCCCTCTTCCACAGCTGTGGACCACTCTCCATCACATTTGTCTACTCTTTAGGCAGGGGACACCAGAGAAGCCTCAGCTTCTATCATAGGCAAGGCTGTTATAGCAGCAACATCTCTGCCCCCATGATGGGGGTTTCTGGAACAAAAAGATTGGACAGGGACTGCAGAAAGGCTCAAGGGTCTAGATGTTTATGGTTGGGTAGCCCTGGCACCAAATCTTCTAGGAGGCTGTTTGGTTCCTAGTCAGCCAGCCAGCCCCTCAAAGGTTGGTGTCCATGCTGGGTTCCAGCTCCATGGTGACTCCCGGCTGCCTGGGCCACCTCCTTGTGTGCTGCCCACAGGGGGCTAGATGAGGCTGCCAGAGGCAGGCAGTGCCCTTCAGGGGTTGCCACCATCCCCTAACCCCCTGGGTGCTGCTCTTGGCCCAGCAAGGTTGACACCTACCCCCTGCCCAAACCCTGGGGAACAGGCCACCATAAATATTTACTGAGCTCCAGCAGGCATCCACTGTAATCCTGACTGACAGGTTGTGGGCCCACTGGGATCTTCAAGGAGGCCCAGATACCTGGGGCCTTGCTGGGGCTAGCTGGCCCAGCACCCCCTCATCTTTTGAGCAGGATCTCTTCTCTGGCCAGGCCTCGAGATGGCTGTGACAAATGGACAAGCTCAGCCAGTTCAAGCATCAGTCAACACCCAGTAAAGGACCTGTAAACAATGGGTGATGACACTCCCTGGGCCTCACAGGGAGAAAAAGTGGGGGCTCATTCTTTTTCAGTTCAGCTCAGACACAAGGCTCATCAGGCTGAACCCAGAGATAAATGAGAAATTGGCTCTATATTTTCCCCCTTAATTCAACCTGTTAAAAACACTAGCTCAGGTCAATGAAGGCACTCTAGTTCCTGCTCTGAGTGCACAATGGTTTTGGTTGCCTCCTGCATGCACTCCAATCGGGTGGGATGAAACCTGCAACCCAAGTATAAACCCTTGACAGAAATCAAACCCATGACCCTTTGGTTTTCGGGCTGATGCTGTAAACACTGAGCCACATGGGCCAGAGCAAAGCTGCCTCGATCTTTTCAATAGCTTCAGTGGCCTCTCCTTCTGACCCCACCCCACCTAGATCGTCTTTGTAAAACACCTTTGCCATCACACAAGGCACCCAAGTGTGGGCCCATCTGTAAGATAAATTCCAGGACTTAGGAGGTCTTTGTGATGATGCAGCTCTAACTTATCTCTTCCTCACCAAGGGCTCAGGCCCCAGGCCCTGGGAGGGGAATGTCTGTGCCTCTGGAGCTGCCAGTATGGTACAGGAGGTCAAGGAGTGGCATGCCCAGGAGGGTGTGTGGATTATGGGTAAAGAACACCTAAATAAATGGAAACGTATCCTGTGTTCATGAAGCAGAACTTAATTTAACATTTTGTTTAGATGGCAGCACTCTGCAAAATGAGGTAGATTCAATGCAGTCATCAGAATCCCAATTCAGCCCTGGCCGGTTTGGCTCAGCGGTTAGAGCGTCGGCCTGCGGTCTGGAGAATCCCAATTCATCCCCCACAGTCTGACAGAAATGGACAAGCAGGTCCTGGAATTCACATGGAAATGCAAGGGATCAGAATAGCCAAAACAATTCTGAAAAGGAAGAACAAAGTATGAGAGTTCACACTTCACAATTTCAAAACTTATCATGCAGCTGTGTGTACAGGACAGCATAAGGAATGACATGTACATCTATGGAACAGAGCTGAGAGTCCAAAAATAAACCCTCACGTTTATGGTCAACAGAATTTGTACAAGGGTGCCAAGACAATTCAATAGGGGAAAGAATAGTCTTTTCAGCATATTGGACAACTGGATAGCCACATGCAAAAGAACAGTTTGCTCCTTCATACTCCCATCCACAAAAATGAACTCAAAATGGATCAAACACCTCAATATAAAAGCTAAAACTATAAAACTCTTAGAAAACAGAGGAGTCGGTCTCTGTGGGCTTGGATGAAGCAATGGTTTCTTAGATATGACACCAGAAGCATTAAGAGACAGAAGAAAAAATTGATGAATTGGACTTTACTGAAATTAAAAACGTTTGTGCTGCAAATGATACCATCAACAAGCTGAAAAGGCAATCCACAGAATGGGAGACAGTATTTGCAAATCATATATCTGATAAGGGAATGGTATCCAAAAAATATAAAGAACTATTAAAACTCAGTGATAAAAAGATGAACAACCCAATTTAAAAATGTGTAAATGGCCCAGCCAGTGTGGCTCAGTGGTTGAGCATTGACCCACGCACTAAGAGATCACTAGTTTGATTCCTGGTCAAGGCACATGTCCAGGCTGTGGGCCAGGTCCCCCGCGGGGGGCATGCAGGAGGTGGCCAATTGATATTCTCTCTCATCAATGTTTCTATCTCTCTCTCCCGCTCTCTTCCTCTCTAAATCAATAAAAGAAAAAAAAAAGAAAGTGTAAATGATTTAAATAGACATTCCTCCAAGAAAGCTATACAAATGGCCAATAAATACAAGAAAAGATGCTCAACACTATTAGTCACCAAGGAAATGCAAATTAAAATCACAATGAGTTACCACCTCATACCTACTAAGATGATGAGACTCAAAAAATAAAAAGTAATTAGTGTCCAGAAATCTGAACTTCCATTTGCTGCAGATGGTAACATTAAATGGTACAGCCAATGTGGAAAACAGTTTGGCAATTCCTCAAAATGTTAAATGGAGAGTTACCATAACCCAGCAATTACACTCCTCGATGAAATTTCACCTAAGTGAAACATCTGCAACATAGACACTTGTATATGCATGTTCACAGCAACAGTGTTCACAAGAGGGGAAAGGTAGAAACAACTCAAGTGTCCATCAAGTGGGAAGTGGAGACATAAAATGTGACCCTTTCATACAAGATTATTATTCAGCCATAAAAAAAATGAAACACTGAGACATGCTACATCAACATTAAAAACACTATGAGAGCCCTGGCCAGTTTGGCTCAGCGGTTAGAGCGTCGGCCTGTGGTCCGGAGAGACTCGGGTTTGGTTCCGCTAAGGGCACGTACCTCAGTTGCCGTTTGTCCCCAGCCCCGGTTGGGGATGTGCGGGAGGCAGCCACTTGATGTGTTCCTTTCATGCCGATGTTTCTCTCTCTGTCTCTCTCTTCCTCTCTTTCCCTCCCTCTCTGTCTGAGCAAAAATGGAAAAATGTCCTCGGGTGAGGATTAAAAAAAAACCAAAACACCATAAGAAAGAAACCAGACACAAAAGAACACATTGTGAATGTTTCCATTTATATGAAATGTCCAGAAGAGGCAAATCTATAAAGACAGAAAGCAGATTAGTGGTTGTTAGGGGCTGGAAGTAGCATGGGGAGTGACTGCTAGTGTGTATGGGATTTCTTTTGGGAGTGATCAGTGTTGTAAATTCAGACCATGGTGATAGCTGCACCACTGCAAATAGACTAAAACTAAGTGATCTGTACACCCAAAATGTGTGAACTGTATGGTATGGGATCTCAATAAAAATGATAAACACACAAGAAAAAACAGAGCCACCCACTTGGCACAGGAGGGAGTGGAGAGGAGCTGGGTGTGAGAAATGAGGAGACGTGGGGTAGCAGTCACTTTAGGAGCAACGGGGATTAAAGGCAGCCTGGGCCAGCTTGGCATGTTTTGGGATACTGGAGGTGAGTGGTCCAGGGAGAGTGAAGGTGCCAGGCTTGGGGTCATAGTGCTTTGACAAGAGCAGGGGAGGATAAGACTGATGGGGAGGGGCCTACTGTGAACCAAGGCTCAAAAGAGGCAAGGCTGGAGGAGGACAGAGGATAAGGGTAGGATTCAGGATAGAGCACAGGGCTGTTCCCTCTACCTTGGGAACTCCCTGAGAGGTCACTCCGGCCTTCCCAGGCTAAAGCAGGCCTTGGTTATCCCAGGCCCCACCACTAACAAGAGGAAATTCAAGCGTGCATGATGTGACAGTGAATTCCTCGAGACGGGCCATGTGCACACTCAATAGTTAATGAATACAGTACATAAACAACCACACCACCAGAAGGGGTATCTTCCTCACACCTCTGCAGCCAGGAAATACTGGAGTGGGTTTGTATGTGCTACAATAAAAGTCATGTAAAAGGGATGTGATTAGGAGACCTAACTCCAGGCAATGGCATTTAGGGCCCCATGGGAGGCACAGCTGTGTCATGAACAGGAAGAGGATCAGAGGAAGCCCACTGGTTGGAATCCTTCTGTAGCCTGGCCTGGGTACAGCTCACTCCTGCATATATGAAAACAGACCTCATGCAGCACACCTGAAGGGTACATTGGCCTGGGTGTTGTGCTGCACTTCGAGAAAAGAAGAGACTCAGATTTATTCAATCTGCTCTAAGATGAGTTGAGTGCCCATGTGATGTTAAATCTAGTCTTTTTATTTTTTTCCCTTTGATTTTAGAGAGGGAGTGGGAGAAAGAGACAGAAACATCGATGAGAGAGAACATCAATTGGCTGCCTCCTGCATGCCCTACACTGGGGATCAGGCCCACAACCTGGACATGTGTCCTGATCAGGAATCGAATAGGTGACCTCTTGGTGCATGGGTTGACGCTCAACCACTGAGCCACACCGGCTGGACAAATCTAGTCTTTAACCTGTTTTTGTATGGCCCTCGGGCTAAGAACACTTTTAGATTTGTAAATAGTTGCTAAAAAAAAAGCAGCAGCAGTGGATAGAAACCATTTGGCCAGTAAAGCATAAATTATTTATCTGGCTCTCTATAGAAAAAGTCTGCCTGGGGGAAAGGGAAAAATATCTCTAACAAAAATAAGTAATGAAAAAAGAAAAAGTTTGCCAACCTCTGTTCTGGGATACAAAAAAGCCAACAAGGGGAGAGGAAGGACTTGAATTTTCACTACATATTAACTTTTCTACCATCTAAATTATTATATTTTTTACCATGCCCATGCATTTTTTAAAAAATTAAGGCATAATTTGCATAATATGCAGATTTTAAATGTATTCACAATTAACTTGTTTTAAATTTCTTTGTATTTCTTTGTTACTCTTGGGTGTGGAAGATGGGGGTCTTTTACTTTCTCTCTTACATTTTTCTGTGATGAACCCAATAATGAATTTTAAAATGTTACATAACACTTGAAAATTTTTAAAATACATATTCCTGGGACACCCTGCAAGTGGGGGCCACAACAAGGAACTCCCACATAGAACATCTTTTTTTAAAATTACTTCGACGTTGTCTTGGACTGTGTCCTTCACTAGTTAGAGCTCTGGCCCTGTCCCACAGAAGGGTAGAGGGCACATACCTAGGTTGCAGTACTTTAGCTCCAGGTTCGATCTCCAACACCAGTCGGAGCGTGTGGGAGGTAACATGTCTCTCTCACATCATGTTCTCCCCGCCCCCCCCCCAACTCCCTCCTTCCCTCTACTCTCTAAAAATCAATGGGAAAAATATCCTCGGGTTAGAATTAACAACAAAATTCCTTCCGTGTTCCGGGTTTTGGTCCCAGCTTTGCTCTGGATGGCCCTCACAGGTAAGGTCGCAGCCTCTCTAGGGCCTCAATTTTCCCACCTGTAAAACGGAAGCGGCGGGTGAACTAGAGGCGCAGGCTAAATTAATTTCGGTTTAACCTACTGTGAAATGGAAATAATTAACAGCCCCGATTACTGAGCTATTACGAGAAGGAATTAAAGGATTAATAATCGCTTGGCAAATTACAGCAGTTATCGTTATTGTTACCCCTGACGCTATCTGGATACCCGACTCCGCCTCTTGTCTTACGGGCGCCCTGACACCGTTGCGGCGCTCCAGAGGCCCAGACCCTGACAGCACGGCGCAGGCGGACACTGACCCGACAGTCCCCGACGCGGAAGGTTCCGTTTGTAGTCGATAGGGCCATAGCCCCCAGGAGGGGGCATGTCCTGCTTCACCTTAGAGGCCGCCATATTCGCAGGGCTTTGCACTTCCTGTCGTGGGCGGAAGTGACGTACAGACAGCCGCCGCCACGATGAATGTGGCGGAAGCTGTCGCGCAGGTCTCCGGTGAGGCCAGGGAACCCAGGATGCTGTTGTAGTGACCCTGCTGCGCCGGAGAACTCAGGCTGCGACGCCCGGCTACGGCCTAGGAATCCTTATTTCTTCTCCCAGACGGGGCGTGGCCTAGTCAGGTCGCCTAGGTCCTTGCATCAAAAGACCTCCCGTCACCTTCCGTCTGGGGCGATGCGCAAGGCAGTCAAGCTCCGCAGGAATCCGGGTCACCAAGCTAATCCCTTTTACCCGTTTTCTCCCCCTTCGGGTCTGTGCCGGCAGCCCAGGGCTACATGGTCAGGGCTTGGTACAAGAACTTGGCTGGGGGCAGCTGCTGCTCAGATTTGGACTCGCGAGGAGCCACCCCAACCAACCCCAGGCACGGATTCCACTCCTTGGTGGTGGTCGGAAGCCCTTTGGTAATAGCCTCTCATCAGGAACTGGGCCATTCAAAGCGATTATGAGTCACAAAGCTCTAGGGCCTCGGGGGTCCATCCCAAGGCCGGGTGACGCCCGCGGGGACCCCACCCCGAGGTGGGGTGACGCCCGCACTCACTTCACAAGGCAGAAATTGTTACCTGGGTAATAAAAGGCACCGCGGCGGCGGGGGCCCGGGAGTGGGCACATGGGGGTGCGGGTGTGCAGGTGCCAAGCGCCATGGGTTAGGCCCGAGATCGGAGTCCGGCCGCCCCCCGACAGCAGCCGCCTCCTGCTCCCCGTGCGCCCCAGGCGCCACCATGTCGGGTGACAAACTCCTGAGCGAACTCGGCTATAAGCTGGGCCGCACGATAGGTGAGGGCAGTTACTCCAAGGTGAAGGTGGCCACTTCCAAGAAGTACAAGGGAACGGTGGCCATCAAGGTGGTAGACCGGCGGCGCGCGCCGCCTGACTTCGTCAACAAGTTCCTGCCTCGGGAGCTGTCCATCCTTAGAGGCGTGCGGCACCCGCATATTGTGCACGTCTTCGAGTTCATCGAGGTGTGCAACGGGAAGCTGTACATCGTGATGGAGGCAGCCGCCACGGACTTACTGCAGGCCGTGCAGCGCAACGGACGCATCCCTGGGGGGCAGGCCCGCGACCTCTTCGCACAGATCGCCGGCGCCGTGCGCTACCTGCACGACCACCACCTGGTACACCGCGACCTCAAGTGCGAAAACGTGCTTCTGAGCCCTGACGAGCGCCGCGTGAAGCTCACCGACTTCGGCTTCGGCCGCCAGGCTCACGGCTACCCTGACCTGAGCACCACCTACTGCGGCTCGGCAGCCTACGCATCACCGGAGGTTCTCCTGGGCATCCCCTATGACCCCAAGAAGTACGACGTGTGGAGCCTAGGCGTCGTGCTCTACGTCATGGTCACTGGATGCATGCCCTTCGACGACTCAGACATCGCCGGCCTGCCCCGGCGCCAGAAGCGTGGCGTCCTCTACCCAGATGGCCTCGAGCTGTCTGAGCGCTGCAAGGCCCTGATCACCGAATTGCTGCAGTTCAGCCCGTCAGCCAGACCCTCGGCGGGCCAGGTAGCGCGCAACGGCTGGCTGCGCGCGGGGGACTCTGGCTAAAAACCGGAGTTCCCCACATTCCCGCCGCCCCAAGCGCGGCTCACACGCGAGAGGCGCGCTTCCAGAGTCCCGCGAAGCCGCCGCGCGCGAATGCGCATGCGTTCTTTCCCCTTCCCCTCTTCCTCGACGGCTGGGGCAGCAATCGCCCCTGTTTGGAATCTAGTTCCTCCATGATCCAGAGAGCAGGACAACGCATGCGCATCATCGATTCCCCTCAAGAAGGCCCTGGGAGGGGGCGAGACCAGAGGATGCGGAAGCATAGCGCCTATGCGGAGTGAGAGTCGGCTGTGCGGAAGGAGGAGGCTACTTGGTGGAGCTGAGGGCGAGGGTACCCACACTGAGTGCGTCCGTTCCCAGCCTGCCGCGCAGGTCGCCGCGGGACGGCGCGCTCCGGGCACCACCCGCGTTGTAATTTGCAATAAACTCGCTCTACCTCGCTTCTGGCTCCCTTTTACGGAGCGGGGGTGGGGGTGGGGTGTCGCTCTCTGGAAGGCAGGCGCGGGCGCTCCATTTTAAAGAATGGTTCGTTAGGGTTCTTGCTAGTTCTCAAAAGGGAATTAAGAGGATTCGAACCAGGACATTTTTGGCAAACCCCCCCCCCCCCCCCCCCCCCGCCAAAAGAAGTAGCTTTGAAGTTGTTTCCGGGGTCGTGATGGTCCTGGGAATAGAAATGTTGGGGTGGGGAGCAAAGACCCTGCACCCTGCACGTTTTAAGAAGGGAACGGCGTGGGTGGGTGGGGAGGCCCTCTCTGAGTGTTTATAAATGAGGAAATTGATGTCCACACAGATGTCAACTGCCCAAGAACACAGCTGGGATTTCAACCCAGATATAGCTGAAGTAGGGTGGGGAGGTGGTGGAAGCTCTCCTTGGTAAGAGCCCCATCCTTAATGAGGGTTAGAGTCTAGTGGGGTGGGTCAAGGCTGGGGCCTAAGCCCACTGGACAAGCTGATTCGTTCAGTTCTCTTTTCATTCATGCATTTATTGAACTGCTGGGTACCAAGCTCTGGAACTCAGCAAAGAGCCTTAGATCCATCCCTACCCTCTGTGAGGAGGCAAGTGAAAAGTCAAGTAAAAATATTGTGTGGAAATCTTTTAAAAATTGTAACGTGTTAAATGCTGAGGGATTGAAGCAGATATTTGAACTGAACCCTGAAGGAATCAGCCACTGGAAACAGCAGAAAGTTTCATGAGTTCCCAAACAGAATGGAACTGGTGTGTTTGAGTAATGCCAGGAGGAGCTCCTGTGGTTACAGTAGAGAGGAGGTGGAGAGATAAAGGTGTAAGTCTGGAAAGGGGACCCCATATGGCCTGGGGGAGTTTGGGGGTTATTTTACTACAATGAGGTTACTGGTATGGGAAACGTTTCCCTAGTCCTTAATCCTGTCTACCTCCATCTGAGGCCCATGACCAGTCTAAAGAGACTGGTCAGCTTGTGGGTCTGATAATGCCCTACCCTTGCTCACTGGCCCTCCATGGCTCTCAGATGCCCTGGGGATTAAGTGCCAGCTCTCCCCTCACCCTCTTCAAATCAGCTGTGGCCCCACCCACCTCACTTTGCAGACCAGGAAATAGGCTAAGAGAGGGGAAGTGCCTTGCTTCCAATCCTGGCTTGTTCACATTTGAACTGAGACAAAAAAAAAAAAAAAAAACCCTTTGGCCCTGGCCGGTTTGGCTCAGTGGTTGGAGCGTCGGCCTGTGGTCCAGAGAGACCCGGGTTCGGTTTTCGCTAAGGGCACGTACCTCGGTTGCAGTTTGACCCCGGCCCTGGTTGGGTTGTGTGGGTGAAAACCACTCAATGTGTCCCTTTCACATTGATGTTTCTCTCTCTCCTTCCCATTCTATCTGAACGAAAAAATGTCCTCGGGTGAGGATCAAAACAAAACCAAAACCCAACCCTTTGGTTTACACTAGAAGGGTTCCTCTCCTGATCTGAACCATACCTCAGGCTCTGCACCTGGAAGGAAAATGGGGGCAGGAACACATCCTTGAGGTTAGGAAGGGCTGTGGCTTCCGGGAGGACTGTACCTCAAGCCTTCTCAAGGCTCCCACTACACTCAGAATAAAACCCACATCCTCACCTGTTCCCTGTCCAGCCACACTGCCTTTCTTGTCCTCCAGATGCCAGGCTTGGTCACAACTCTGAGACTTATCACTGGCTGTTCCCACTCCCAGCAGTACTTTTTCCCTTTCCATTCAAGACTTGGCCTCCAAGTTCACCTCCTTCCTGTCATTCCATTCTTCTCCCTCTTTTTTAAAAAATGTTTTGATTTTTTAGAGAGAGAAACATCGATGTGAGAGAAAAATCAATCGGTTGCCTCCTGCACACCCCCTACTGGGGATGGATCCCGCAACCAGGGCATGTGCCCTGACCAGGAATCAAAACAGGACCTCTCAGTCTATGAGACAATGCTCAATCCACTGAGCCACACCAGCCAGGCAGTTCTTTTCCCTCTTTGCCATTGTCACAGATTTGATCCCAATGCCTGTGGTGTGGCACATGCCTGTTTCTATTCCTCACTGATGAATCTGCATGAGCAATGGGCCAAGGTCTTTTTCCATGCTATGGCTTGGTTTAGAAGGGACAAAGTCTCAGGGAACCAGGGTGAGTGTCCCATTTGTTAGCTGGAGAAACAGACTCACCCTCGGGTCCACTAAGGAGCCTGTGGCTGATCCAGCAAAGACTTCTCCCTTAACAAAGGGTCACCCTGCTGCACTTACCCAAAGTTTCCAACCTGCCCAGTAGCTGGACTAAATAATAGAGGAAAACCAGAGCCAAGGAGACAAAAAAATATATACACACGCACACACACAGAGTCAACACATCATGTCCCTCATAACACCATGTATGGCCATTGACTCCAGCCTCTGTTTATAGAACTACTATTCTGGTTTGGTGGTCAACGTTTGGTTTTACATTATTATAAAAAATTTAGTCACAATAAATACAAGTGACAACACCCACCAAAAATACCTCCCAAATACCCTGCACTAATGTAACTGTTTATTATACTTTCTTTGTTAAGGATGAGAAAACTTTAGCTGTCTTTTTTTTAAAAAAAAAAAAAAAAAAAAAGCTCAGCCCAGGCTGGTTTGGCTCAGAAGTTAGAGCATCAGCCCATGGACCAAATGGTCCAAGTTTGATTCTTGGCCAAGGGCACATACTTGGGTTGCAGATTCGATCCCTGGTCCCAGTCGGGGGTCATGCGGGAGACAACCAATTGATGTGTCTATCTCACATTGATGTTTGTCTCCCTCCCTCCCTTCCATTCTATCTAAAAATCAATGGAAAAATATCCTTGGGTGAGGATTAACAAAACAAAAATTAAATTTAAAAAAGCTCAGTCTGAGTTCTATGCAAATGTCACGTGCAGCATAACTCGGCATCAGAAGGAAACAAAACCCTATGTAGGAGTAACAAAAACCATTATTTCCATTATTTATACCCTGTGAAACACATGGCAGGGCTATATAGTCGCCTCTTTCATTCCCTCTGCACTGGGGTGAACTTTTTGCAAGTCTTGGATGACAGACAGAACCCAAGACAGCTGGGAAAGGGCCATTCTCTGCCTTGTCAAAGGTGTGAGTCCTGATGTCAAACTTGGGACAATGAGGATCAGAGTCCCCATGACATGCGCAGGATGGCCAGAGCCATGGGAGGCTCCAAGGGGACATGCCTGTATCAATGCACATAAATATATACACACTCAGCCATTTCAAACCTACTCCCCCATCAAAATGGGGAATAAGCTTTGTGAACCCCATACCCCAGTCCACAGAATGACTTTTTTTTTATCTTCATCCAAGGATATTTTTCCATTTATCTTCAGATAGAGTGGGAGGGGGGGAAGAGACAGAGAAAGAGAGAAGGAGAGACGCACATCGACTGGTTGCTTCCTGCACAACCCCGATCAGGGCCAGGGCCGGGCCGGGGACGAACCGCAACCGAGGTACATGCCCTTAACTGAAATTGAACCCATGACTCTTCGGTCCAAGGTCTGACACTCCAGTGGCTGAGCCAAACCGGCCAGAGCTCGGCTGACATTTTTTAGAAGTGATTTTTATTATCAGATAGAAAGTTCTTTTTTAAAATCCTCTTCTGAGGATACTTTTTTTTGCATTTATCTTCAGATATAGCAGGAGAGGAGGAAGTGAGAGAAACATCGATGTGAGAGACACATCAAGTGGTTGCCACCCACACGGACAAACTGAAACCGAGTTATGTACCCTTAGTGGGAACCGAACCCAGGACTCTCCAGTCCACGGGCTGAAGCTCTGACCTCTGAGCCAAACCAGCCAGGGCAGAAAGTTCTTTTTTCTTTACTTATTTTTAATTTTTTTCTTTATTGATTGTAGAGAGAGGAAAGGAGAGGGAGACAGAAACATCGACGAGAGAGAACATTGATTAGCTGCCTCCTGAATGCCCCCACTGTGGATTTGGCCCACAACCTGGGCATGTGCCCTGACTGGGAGTCAAACCGGCGACCTCTTGGTGTATGGGTCCATGCTCAACCACTGAGCCACACCGGCCGGGCGAGAAAGTTCTTTTTTAAAATTTAATTTCAGAGAGAGGGGAAGGGGGAAAAAACGAGAAACATTGATTGGCTGCCTCCTGCATGCCTCCTCCCCGCCAACCAGGGATCAATCCTGAAACTCAGGCATGTGCCCCAACCCAGAATCAAACCCATGACCTCTTGGTGCACAGGATGACACTCATCTAACTAAGCCACACCAGCTGGGCCATGGCTAACATTTTTAAGTTTCCAGTTGCAGTCAGGAGTTCATGTCACAGGTAACTAGAGACCATTACAATAGTCATTTAGGCCTAGGGGCTCCTACATTCTCACTGCTCCTGGGAACCAGGTCCTCTCAGCCCTGACACTCCTGGGGGAAACCAGGACCCAAGCACTGTGGCAGATTTTGAGTGGGTGAGCTTTGCTGCTGGGAGAACACCTTTATTATTAACACCCTCTCCTAGTATATCCAAACTCCACACCCAGAG